CTCACTTGATCATGGGTCTCACAATCACATTTTATTCTACTTGCATCTGACATTACGAACACGAAACAGAAAGACCTGTAGTTTATCTGTTTAAACTTCTTGTCAGTTTTCCTGGCTGTTTACATGTGAATACATTATCTTTCTGCAAYGAATTCATGAGTGGATTGGGAAGTGTTTAAAGGTGACGAAGACAAAAAAAATTGCATTTTGGGAGGGAGCAGAACATCACAGTGAAAGAAATGAAGATTTTAACCTTATTCCTTACTCTTTGCAACAGAGTATTTGCAAGCTGTGGTCCTCTAGTCTTCCTCAGCACCTTGAAAAAATGAAGGATTTGAGGAGCAGCCAACAGCATATTCTGTTTGTAGTCTCCATCCCAAACCAGAGATATCAGTCAAGAGAAGTTTTCTCCCCAGATTCACATTCAGAAAAATAGCTTTGAGGCATTACTCTATGGATAAGATGTGGAAAACATCCAGTAGCAGTGAGATTGAAATGATGTCAGCTCTGAAGAGGACATCCAGGGGAATGACATCGGAGTGTACARCTCAGGCCCATGGGACAACGATTCTGGGAACAGCGTTTGGATCTAATTTTTGTTCACTCAATATCATCTCAGTCAAACAACACTACAGTTCTGGGAGGAGCCTGGTAGTTTCTAAATTGCAGAAGATGAAAAGGACTGTAGAATACACGTCTGGTTATTTAAAGGGATCCTACCCACTCTTTAGRCACAGTATTTAGCATTTTCAAAAACGCAGTGTTAAGAGTTGGTCTGACATTGTTTAACCACAAATTTCAGTGGGAGCAAAATTGGACTGCTATTGAAGTTTCTAGAGATCTTACACTAATTTTTTTTCAGTTTGGCTTGTCAGTTCACAGTGATGAGTGTGATGTGTTATGATTTACTATCATGAAGAATATGGAATAAATCAGTAAGAAAATTCTCACTTTCATAGCAATAGTTAATTCTCAGTAGTCGCTTTTTTGGTGCTTCTTATTTATTCCTACATCTCTTTTTAACTTGCTCTTATTTATGGATTTTTTTGGTTTTCTTTCTAAATTACAGCAAGTAGTAGTTATTTAAGGACCTACGATTGTTTCCATTTTAGAGAGAGCTCATTTTAAGGACACATTTGTTACCMTAGCCATTTAAATTCTGCTTTGCTGGAAGTGCTTGTACAAGCTGATAGCCTAGATSTAAATTATTTATTTCAAATTGAATTGGCTGTGCTCTTTATTTAAAAAAAAAAATAGCATACTAACCACAAAATTACGTTTTTATTTTCTTTAGATGCCTRCCAAACCAACAAGAGATTTTACTCTAAAAGGTTGCTTTTTTGTTACTGGCAATTGGCCCACCAGTGTTGAAAATTCAGAAACTTTGCCTTTTGAAAAGAAAAACAAGAGAAGCTGGAGAGTTAAATGTAATGCTGGGTGCACGGTAGTGTGTGCTATACATGCTATGTAAATCTATATATCTGTATTTTTCTATATACATATATAGAAAATGGAGAAGCATTTTAAATCATCTTATTGATACTCTTCATATTCTCTCTATGCAATGCTTAAAATGTGATCAGTTTTATTCCYTCAGCTGGTCTAGATTCAGTTGTTAATAACATCTGCTATCTTCTGGTTATAAGGGTGAATTACTATCTGGACAGATTATGTTTAAATGTAACTTATTATATGAATCAATATTTTAGAAACGCTGTTCCTGACATTCTGCTCTGTCTTTGTTAAATTTCCTGTTGAGCTGTGTGCAGGTTTGAGTTTGGCCTTTTTACAGGCAWGACTGAGGACTCAACAGACAAAGCAATATTTTTTTTATTTCTCTAGTTCATGGCAAACTAATATTCTTTGATCATGTTAGCAGTAGACKAAATACCAGCTTGGAAATAAACTGACCAAGGAGGTTGTAGTAAATTATATTGCAACAGAGTTTTGAATGCCGAGWTAGCATTTAATTATATGTATATATACACATATATGTGAGTGTGTGGGTTCATAACACAGATGGGGCAAAGCAAATCTTGGGTATTTCAGGCTCGAGAAAGGAATGCAACCAGGATTTGAATATGTTTGAATTATGRCTTTTAGTAAATTGATAAGATACAGCTGAAAGATTTGGAACACTAGGRAAATTATTTAATAGAGCTTTTCACAGGGAGGGGTCAAAAAAGGCTTAAGAAAACATGTAGATCCCAGTCTTATGCTTTTTACCAATCAACTCTTCTGCTGGAGACAGCAAATGTTCTGCTTGGCTGAGGAGTATTTGAGTATAGTAGATGATATTTTGGCATACTGTATAGGCTTTACTTTGTATATGCATATACTGCAGAAATTGTATTTCTGTTCAAAGAATAATTCAGTCATTCTGACTCAATGGTGAATTCTCAACTCATGAGCTGATTTTCCAGAAGAACCTGCCTCTGAGATATTGTCCCTTCTCCAGCAGCTAACTCTCTGTGTGTTAAATAGTCTCAGAGTGTGCAGGAATAAGGTCTATTTGAGCATAATTAAGTGCATATTGCCCCAATCCAGCATGCACAATTCTCATAAGCATATCATGGAAGAAAGAGACACCCGGGCAACTTTGGTCCTGAGGCTGTTGTAACAAATGTGATGCAGTGTCAAGGGAGAAGATTTTAATCCTTTATTCAGTTTGTTTGCCAGTGTTAACATTCGGTCCTGTGGAGCTAAATGTTCCATGCTGTTTTCTTCCCCTTCATGTTTCAATAACAATTTTCATAAAAAGCTTGTCTCCCACTTCGTGGCATTACAGGGAGTGGTTATTCAGAGTCTGAAAGTGTGACAGGGAATTTAGACTTTTTGAAGCAATTTCTGTAATGCATTTTCACTTGTCTATATTTTGAAAAGTCAAGTTTGAGAGACTGGAGGGTCACACTACATATTTTATTTGAACAGGTGACATCAGTCAAAAGAACTTAAATTTTTGTTGAATTAAAACCAGACTTTTGCCAAATCTGCCGTCAATTTTATTCATAGCGATTATATTAATATCTAGCAATATATCAACAAAAAATAGTTTTTCTATCAAGCAGTGGCAGTCTCACTGGGATATGCAACCTAGATATTGCACTCCTTGGTACAGGAAAACCATATCAAGCAAGAGATTCAGCATCTCCCTAAAAATTTAACTTGACAAGACTTTTATCTTTGTAGAAAGTGATGATAAAGAACTGTAACAAGCATCTTAGAGGATGAAAAGCTACTGAGATTTTTTTGAAACGTTCCAAATTTTAGAAACTTGTGAAATGCTGGTAATTTTGCTGTTCCATAACCAATCATATTTTATACTTTTCTGGAGAAGGATACTTGTGATTATTGAAAATGTGTTACCTTTAACCTAAAGTCCAGAAGCTGAGCTGTGTTCCGAGCTTATAAAAGAGGGAACACTTTATCCTAAGCCAGAACACTTTGAAAGCTCTCTGTGGGAGTGCTCTCTCTCCCATATTTATCTGCATGAAGGAATTCAGAAGGGTTCATAAGGGACCAAGCCTCAGGAGCAGCATCCGTAGGTCCTGGGAAACCACCCATGTATGTCCCAGATGTTTGTCTCTTAATGAGAATAATGCTCTGCCTTTAGGAGAAGGTATTTCTCTGCATTCATGACCTCTGGTGCCATCCTTTGGCTTCAAACTTAATCTCCATATGGGCCTGAAGGTGGAATGCCATTCCTCACACTATAAATATTCCCACTGAGATCAATAGGTGTTTGCAAAGTAAAGTATTACTGTGAGTAAGAGCCATATGATACGAGTCAACAGGCCTGGCACTAAAATATGTTTTTATATTTTTAAGGGAGTATATTCTCACATGTGGGTTTCTTGTTTTTGCCTGCATCTGTTGTGTGTGCAGAATAGCCCTACAAAATAAGTAATTGTAGAGTTTAGTATTAGATATTCATACGTGAGTACATATTAGTCTTTGCCATYCCATTACCTAATTTCCATGTGGAAATGCAGGTTAACTGCTTGTGTAACTTTGCCAGTGGCAGATTGAGTATTTCCAAATTTAGCCTTGGGTSTGTTCTGGGACATTATGCTAAAATTCAGTGCTATTTCTTTATTCAAGCCTATTAGAAACACAGTAAAAACATTTGACTCTGATTCATAGGGTGAACCTTCCAAATGACAGACCTAGTAATTATTAATTMCTTTCATATTTATTGATTGCATTGGCATCAATCATGATAAACACCTTTGGTACAAATGTGGATGTCACTGGTATTGTACTTAAGGCTGTCTACTGTAACTCAGCCTTCATTAATAGGAGCATTAGTTAGCTCTAAGTGGTTMTATTTTGTATATTCAACTTCATTCCTTTCTGAAGGAGCTGAGGAAAGTAAATGTATGTGAAAGGTTCACTGAATTTTGAAAACATTTTGCTATTTATAAGACTAGCTTTTGTGGGGGGAGGGTTGTTTGTCTTCTAAAGAAAAAGAAAAGTTTGCGTTAAACATACATACAACGTGTATGCATATACCTCTTAAAACCCAAAGAAACTTCATTTTTCCTTGGACAARTTAATGTACATAATCCTATTAACTTGTCTTAAAAGTTGACAGCAAGCCTGACCTGTTATTTCTTTGATTTTTTCCTGTATACTGCAAAGATACCATTATTCATGGAGCTGTTGTGCTACGCTTTGAAGAGTGATTTTCTCCTTGGGTGGTCATGTTAATTCCATAGCTGAAATCAGTTCTTAATGTTTTTGAGAAGATCCAGTGGTGGGTCTCATTTCTAAGGGAGAATTCATTTCTGGATAGGATGGACAGGAGAGTCTTCCASCTTTGACCACGAGACACCTCAAAGMGAATAGACTAGCTCCAKGATTTTGATGGATTTTAGGTGTTGATTATTGAATATGAAATGTATGCCCATATTTTCTTGATAGGACCCTCCGTTTCAACAGCAAATAGGCCCCGTTCACTGAGCCTCTCTCACCCCCAATCTCGCTGTGTTTTCTTACAGCCTGTGACCTGATGAACCAGGGCATCCTGGCCCTGGTCAGCTCCATCGGCTGCACRTCAGCGGGATCTCTGCAGTCTCTGGCAGACGCCATGCACATCCCCCATCTCTTCATCCAACGTGCCCCGGCGGGAACGCCGCGCAGCGGCTGCGGGCTCACCAGGAGCAACCGCAACGACGACTACACGCTGTCCGTGCGCCCCCCTGTCTACCTGAACGATGTCATCTTGAGAGTGGTCACMGAATACGCCTGGCAGAAATTCATCATTTTTTACGATAATGATTATGGTGAGTATTTATTTAGCAGGGTGATTTTTGTCAAAGCYGTAATCCCGTTGAAAGGAGTCACAGTTTTACAGTCTTGCAATAGATTGTGTTTTGCTTGTGAACATTYATGGTTCTGGCAGCATTTGACAGCACCTCAGAGAAATCTGTTTCTAAAATTCATCAACATTTACAGGTTTATTTGACAATGCCTTTGTTAGAGTTAGATAATAAATGAAGAACTTAACGTGTTTTTCTATTCTGCCCATGTTTTTGAAGCATGAARGTTTTTAGCAAGCTTTTTTGGACTGTGGAAACATAAGATGACAAGTCAATCTTACAATCTTACAATCATGTAAGATTTGCATTCTCTAGATTTGTTCATTGTGTGGCGAATCTCTTCTGTTTGTTGGCATATATTTTTTGGCCAGAATTTGAAGCGATGGAGAATGTAGGTCAGAGGTTTGGCAAGAACAACGTGCTAGTCATAAATATAAAACATGTAGAAAAAAGTTCTGGAGAGTGAAGAACTTGAGGAGGAGGGCTTGGAGAAGATGACTTTCCCTCTTTTTTGAGTTCATTCAGTGTTCCTGAAAGGTGCTGAATTGGTGGTTTTTGTGTGATAGAGTAAGTGTGACACAGATGGCAGTGTCACAAGACTGCACCATCCAGCTCGGTGAATCAGCCACTTTTGGTGCAGATATTTTCTACAGCTGACAGGAGAACTGGAAAGATTTCTCCAGTAAAGGTGCATTATCTAACAAATTTAATGATCTTTATTTCTGTGGAAAATCGTTTTACAGCCAGACCTGTTTTCTTCAGATGCATCCAATATTCATAAGTAATCATGACTGGCTGGGATGAGCATTTTAAAACTTATTTTCAAAGTTAAATCTTTAAGTTGTAAAAAAATGCTCACTTCTGCGATTTGCTGAGCATAATATCTAGTTCATTCAGGTTAGGTGTTATTGATTTTTGTTCCCTGCCTCCATAATAAATTCTTAAATTAGAAGAATAGAAAATGATGAATAGGAGRATTCTTCTTTATAACAAAGCAGCACCTAAAAGCACCAGCCATGGGATAAGAAACACAGACACACACACACAAACCCCTACAAAACAAATAACCAAACAAAAAATCCAAAAATCTCACAGAAAAGAGTATTTTTGTTCAGAAATTTTAGGTTTKTGTATTTAATTGTCAGGTACCTAAGAAGACAACTATAAATGTGTCATCTAAGAGGTATCCTTTTTCATGTTTTGAGTTTAAAAGCCTCAAACAAATTTTATAATTAATATATTTGAATAATTATATTCAAAAATATTGGGCTTAAGTTATTCAAGTTTCATTATTTAATTTTAGAATACAGTTCAGATACCACTTTATTTTGCCCTTGATTTCTGGGTCATAATGATGTGACTTACGTAATGCAGCTGCCTGCCTGCCTGCAAGGAATGAGTTTCAGAGCAGYAGCTCATTCAATGACACATCATYCTCAGATGTGATCTGTGGCAAATAYTAAGTCTCTGTGCCAACCTCTGTGGCATTCTGAATGCAGTAGCCTGCCAGTAATGCCATACTGGTTGGTAATTCAATCACCCTGATTAGTGATCACCACTACAAACATCAGGGAAAGGCGCACAAAAAATAATTCTGCATTTAGTATATACTGAACAGTCTGTCCCCCTTTCTAGCCATTTATGTGGCTTGGGTATTTTAGAGCGGGGTAGGTTGGTTTTTTTGGGGGGGAGGGGTGAGTATACATAGTTTGGCATTAATACCATGGATAAAATTATTTTAAATGCAACCTGATCTTTAAATTAACCTGCAACTCTGAGTAGAGCTATTAGCTGTGCAAAGCTATGTTTCTAAACTATACCAAGCTAAATCCTTGATTTCAACAGCCATCTAGGGCAGCTAAAAATTTCTGTGTTCTTCTTTTGCTTCCTACAGTCTCTGTATAAAAGTTTAGTTTGCTGATTTCATTGACTGTTTCCTTCTTCATTTTTATTAATGAACAATAGACCAGAATTTTCAGATCACCATCTCTAACCTGAGGCCTCTCATTATTTCCATTATCATGAGAGTTGTTCACTGGCTCTCTATTCCCTCATCTTGSTCATATTGGAATACCCCTCTAATTGTTTGTTATCCTGTTTCAGGTGCAATCATTAGTCTTGACAGTCACTGTGTTTTGCCTGTTCATAATTCTTTCATCCAGTTTTTGATCTATGACAGCAGTTTTTMTCAGACACGATGACATTATTTTCTTTGTAGCCCCTAGAGACCAATCTTGCCAGATTGTTATAAATATTAACAAATCGTGTCACTTTCTCCCCTTTCCCTGCTATTTTATTGATAAACTGAAAACATTTCTCTTAAGTTAGCAGTGCACATTTTCTCTTCCTGGATTCTTTACTGATGAATGAGGAGCTAGCACAGAGAGAGKGAAAAAGAAATTAATTGCATGAAAAGAGGAGCTGGAATCACTTTTTAATGAACTACAGAGTGAATAAGTTTGAATTCAGTATTTTACCATGTTTGGAGCAGCAGGTGATGTCCTGAAATCCCATCCAACTCTAATTATTCCACTCTATTATATCACCATTCTGTGATGTATGAGAAAGCCATTCCTTAGATAGGTCTGCAGATGTGAAATATTTGTACAAATAAAAAACAATTCCAGCAYCAGTTTGGATTTTTTAAAAGACAGCTGTCCCAAGAACTCCAGAAGACACTGAGGAAGGGAATATTGCCATTAGCTTCTGTGCCTGTTTTAGAAAGAATCCAAGGCATGCAGATATGGTATGGAAGTCCAGGGATAATCCATCCCATTGATATGGATGTGCAGTGCAGCKAAAAMTGGTTACAATTTCCAGTCCCAGTCCSTTTCCTCAGCTTTCCTGAGAGGTTCTGCTGCAGTGTGAGACTTATTTATTTCCTCAGCCCATACAGATCGAAAATAAAATCCTTGCTAAAAGCTTTGCTCAATATAACTGCTTGCAGCAGTTAATATTAGACATTTAATAGAACATTTAGTATTAAACACTAAAGTAGGTGCGAGTTCAATACCTGCATTAGAATTAATTTCATATTAAGAAGAGATTATTGATGCATCTGCAAAACTGCCACCTGTGCAAGAAGMAATTTCTTGCCCCTGGTGGTATTTTTCTCATGTGCAGTGATCATTTCTTAAGGTGTGTATCATAACTTGAAGTGATGTCTCCATAGCAGTAAATGACACTTAAGAAATAATGGGAATATCGATTCTGCTATGTGTTAGTCTTTTTTTTTCTTTCTCATTATTGCCATTTTTTGTAAGTTAGCAAATGTGAAAGCACTGGTAGACTGATTCCAGCAATCAGCAGCATTCCAATACTTTCCAATAAATTCTTCTATATAATGATTTGATTTAATTATTTAAAATAGAATACCTTAGTTATATTATTGTAGTTATTTCCAGCAATAATTTTGCTCTGTGGAAGAAAATAAGCCTTTCATATTAAAAATAAATTTTCCTACAGTAAAATTGGGATCTTATCCAAAGTACATACTGTGCTAAGCCAGTTGCCTTACACCTTAAATATAAGGTGAAAACCTTTATGTGTCAATTTATCAAAACCCTAGTTTTTTAATATTATCAATAGAATTGTGTTTGATTTTTATCTTGCAGTCCATCATAGATTCCTTTTCATTATCAGATAATTTTTTGTAATGGAAATGTCTTTCTGCAGGCCTGAGAATAATTTCTTCACTGTTACCCTCCTTAAAATTCTCAGATTCTTATTTTTATGAGAATATTTTAAAATTAATTAATATATTATTAATCTATTTAATAAGTAGACTGGTATATTCAGTTTTACTGTTTTACCACTATTGTACTAATATTTAAATGTTAGAAACTTCAAGTCCACATAAGGTTCTTCCCTGACAGACAAGGAAAGCTATGTCTTTGTAGGTGGTAATTCTTTCACTAAGTCATAACGAGCTGTATGTTTACAAAGTGAGGTAGAAGTGGATTTCTGAAATAATTGACATCTAAGTTTTCCAATTATGTTTCTTTTCCAAGTAGAATTGTAGGTAGGCTGACTACTTTAAGACAAAACAAAGGACACCTTGATAATAATAAAAACAATATTTTCCTACTGTTGATTTAGCTAAGCTAAGTAAAGACTTTAGAAAAGCCACAGTTTTTTGTCAGTGGTGGAGCTTTCCAGGCAACAAATGTAAGGCAAACATACAGTAGCAATTATTGAGTGGGGATGTGAGAAAAGAGAACATTTTAAAATGAGCAGGTTTAGGTAATACTTGTTGTATTTCATTTACTACAATTATATCTTTAGTGTATAAATTCAGATGAACTTTTTAAAATCAGAATGAGGATTTTCCCCAATCCTTGCACTCTGTGAGCATGGTCTGGATCAAACTCCTCGTGCAGTCAGTCCCCCTGTATTCAGTGTGTTTTGTTCCTTCTGGTAAAACAAGTCAAGGCCTGCCCAGGACATGAAATTTGATTTTGTTTAAGAAAATTTAATATGAGGATATTAAAAGCCTTCAGGAACAATTCCGCACTTCTTCAGAGGCCATTAAAGAGAGTCTTCTTGCAGAGATAAAGAGTAGGCGGCATGAAATGCAGCAAAATTATGCAGTAGACTGATGCCTTTCTCAAACTGCTATTAAAATTACTATCCACATGGTATGTATAAGCCAAATTTACTTCATTTTAGCAGCCAATTCAGCTCCTACTCACTTCATTCTTGACTGCTCAGCTCAATCTGTAGGATCACTGTGCAGAGGGTGTTTGTGCTTCTCCTTCGTACAGGCAGATGTAGAGACTGGGAAGCTCTTCCACGAAGGCTGAATTCTTTCTTAGGAGCTTCAGCTCCATTTCAGTGAAGGCATTTTCAGATTGGACYCTATAAATGTGTAACTTAGATCTTTGGGAATCGCAAAGTTTGGATTTGTAAGAAAAGCCACTGCTATCTGTAARCATTTTGAGCAAGCTTTGCCAAGTTATTAATCT